ATAATACCAGCCGACAATAAAATTAGTGACTAAACATGAACGCCGTCAAAATAATACAAATAATGAACCTTCTACAAATCAGTAGGGAGTACCGTACAACTTCGACAGCAGTCCTGCAGTTCCTAATTGGTTACTATTGGATCACCATTTACAGAGACGGATCGTATACTGAAGCAGCCACAGGCTGTGGTCTCTGTGTCCTGCTAAATAATATTGTGAAAAAGAACTTGAAAAAGAATAATCATAACTCAACATTTTAAGCTGAATTGACGGCAATAAAGAAAGCTATTCAACTCTCCTATAGATTCGATACACAAGCCCATATATGCAGTGACTCTCTATCTAGCTTGGAGGCAATTGGTGGTATAAATTACAGAAATCCACTAGTCATAGAAATTAAAAAATTATTCCTCAACATAACGTCAGAATTTCGTCCACAGTTGTACCGGGTTCCAGCACATGCGAGTATAGTTGGTAATGAGCTTGCTGACAAACTTGCCAATTAAGCAGCAATTGGCAGGAGCTTGCTGGAACATCCCTTGCCCAAAAGGATTACATACAAGCGTTTAATAAATCACTGGCAATCCAAATGGAATATTGCAACAACGGGAAGATGGACTTTTCGTTTTTTATCCCCATGTCTCTACTAAAATGTTTATATTTTCGTCTGCATAGACAGCCTTTCTTTCAGACCATGGACCTTTCATAACGTATCTTCATCAACTTTGTATTACAGAACTGGACACTTGTAAATGTGGCCAGCAAGGAACTCCGGATTATTACGCCTTTTTATGTTGTCTTACAAAAACTTTTCACTTAATCAAACCATCTGATCAATACTGAGAACAATGGACTTCACACCTATAAAAACTAAGGGAGCTCTTGCTAAACTGACTAAAATATTACAGTTCTGTAAAGAAAGATATTCATAATCATCAACTAGCTAAGTACTCGTTCGATAGCGATATTAATTCTCATCAACTAGCTAAGTACTCGTTCGATAGCGATATTAATTCTCATCAACTAGCTAAGAAATCGTTGCATAAACTTTTTATTTATTTTTTGTATATTCATTTATTTATTTATAATTTATATTTACATTTATTTATCGATATATATAAAGAAAAAAGTCTGTGTGTGTGTTTGTTCGCTAATAACTCAGTGACTACCATAACTATGGTCACCAAACATTTTACACTTCTTTTCTGGGTCCTGTTAAAAGGTCGACTTCCACTTCCCCCCCAAAAAAAACCAGCTAAAATCAGCGATATTAATTAGAAACTCTTAAAACGCTAATTTTCGCCCTCGTTTTTTCGAGTGGCAACAGCGCGGATATCAGTAACAATGGTAACAGTGATATATCAGCAACAATGGCTGCGTGTCCTTGTTGTTGATATAATGAGAGAGAATTAGTTAATTTTTCTATCGAAATTTTTATTAGGTTTTATATCGCTCAAAATAATGATGTATTTGTTTTTATTTTTGCTGACCCAAATGGCAATCCCATACATCGTATAGATATATATCATATGATTCAATGATTAGTGGTACATGTATTGAATATTACTTTGTTTGTTTTAGCATTTTTTATGCATTACAATGGCGCATCATATTTTTTATGACGTGTAATATGTTATTATACGAATTTTCAAATGATGTCATAAGTAAAATAATACATTACTCTCAATTTACCTTAACTGGCATCGGGTATTTGCACTAGTTTATATATATATATATATATTTTTTTTATTTATATTATTCTTTCTTCATTTATTAGTCCAAAGGGATTTGAATTCCGAAGGACTATTAGTTTCGTTTTGGCATTTTGCGTCGGACTCATAAATGTCGGTTCACTTTTCAAACTGTTGCCACAAAATGTTAGAGTCCTGCATTATATTTGAATAAATTAAATAATGAAAAATCTGCATAAATGTATGTATATTTCTCGTATTGTGATAAAACAACGGTACATAGAGTCATCGAATTTTGAATAACGTAATCCTCCAACGAATATGAGCACGTGGAAGATCAAATTTGAAATTTGAAATTTGTTTTATGATCGATTTCCTATTTTTTAAAACTTTGACGAATTTTTGATTAACAAACTCAAGGATTTCAAAGCGAGCAATGGCAACGTTGTGCAGAAAAAACATTTTTATCTCCAGCGCGTGAGTCTCTGTATCGGAAATTCTAAAGATATGCTCGTTTTAAAACTATTTTGCGATATTGCTGTTGCAATGGATTTTATGGTTTAAGTGCGAGGAACATGATATTAATAAAGAAAGGTAACACACAAAATGTTAAAAAAACGCCTCTTTGGACGTAATTTAAAATCTGAAACATTTCAGATTTTTTTTTAAATTTTTGTTTTTATTTTTTATTTTGTTTATTATATTATGTATTTGTAAAATTTAATCAGCACTTTTCACTTATTTAATTATAAGTGGTAATAAAAATCTTTTAACTTAACCTTTGTTTCGTTTTTGCTTTCAGTTATAACAATGTTTACATTTGTTTAAATTATACATACTTTTTGAGCCTGAATCTTTTTCAAAGAAATTTAATTCTGCGAAACTCGATTTCCTCGTATAGCAGTGTATTAATAACCCTACCTCCCGTTCCGCAAAGATTTACAGCATTCAAGAAGTAGTAGAATTTTCCGAAAGGAATGAAAAACTGTGAAATTTTAAGAAATTACCGGCTATTCTCAACGCCTTTCTATGAAGCTCTTGATTTTCGCGCTATATATAATGTATTACTGTAAACGAGAATCTGTGCGTATCCCCTTGTAACTGGCAGATATCGGAGATCATCATTTTGGGTAGAAGTTTACAACTTGATGTAGCCTTTCGGTAGAAGTTTATGACTTGATGTAGCCTTTGCTTCTTCTTTTACGTGTCTCCTAGGGCAATCAATTGTGAAGGCTTAAAATCCGGTCGATATAGCAGGGCCTGCACTAAGTATGGAGACTCAGGGAAGACTGCATAAAAGTAAAATAAGCATTTCTCGTAGTTTCGAGGTAAAGTTTAACTGTCTTTCTTTGTAAGGTTATTTAGCCATTTGAAGTCTACACAAAATCACGTGGACCCGCCTTTCTTCCAAACTAAGAAGATAGGTGGTGTCCAAAGACTAGGCGATGCCCTGCATCTTCTTCAGAAACTTTCAAACTTCCTCTTATTTGGCGAATGGAAGAAGCCTAGGATGTTGCATGATAGGGGAATAATTTCCAGTGTTGATTCAAAATTGCATCACAACCATGTGACCAACGTCATTTATCGAGGTTAAAGACATTTTTATACTCTGCTAAGTAATTTCCAGTTTGAATCTATTTAACATTTAATTAGGTACTTTAAGTTAAATCTTTTAATTCAGGTGGATTTTGCCTCTGACCGACGGATCTTCGCACGATATTTTTCGCAGCAGAACATGAAAAAAATTCTTTTTTAAAAAACATACGAGGCTTGTCACTTATGTTGGCAGTCCTGATCGGTATGTTTCCTTTTACTAAATCTACAAGAGTAGCTACAATTAAAAGTCCATTCGGACGTGTAGTTGACTTGTAGTTGACGTGTAGGAAAATAGTAATCCTTACTAGCATCTTTTCGTGATATTTTATTGCATCGCTAATGATACATTCCATTTTTGAAGGCATAGTAATATTATTGGGAGCAATTATCATGCAGCAGCTAATTTCATTTTCATCTACTCCAAACATCATCATTTTTTCATTAGATGGCCTCATTTCAGGATATGCATTTCTTCAGAAACATTTACAACAATATCAAGAGATTCGGTTCAAACTTGACAAGTCGTTATAAACTTGGAAAAACACCAAGCTTATAACACATAGATGATGACTTCCTGGACCTTGACTGGGGTCAGAAAGGGAGAGGGCAAGAATGCACTCGGTAGTTTATTCAGAAAGAAAAGCCTTCGTTATCAGAAAGTTTACCAGTGACTAAGCAGTAAGATCACTGGAATCTGGGCTCCAATCCTGCATATTGATTTCGTGATTTTCCCCATGGGTAGCGCTATTACGAGGCATTGCCATAAAAATGTCCTCCATGAAAAGATCATTCATCTTAGGCACAAGGGTATAAGATGAAGGGGGTTCCTAAGCACACGGGTCTCAATTCTCGAAGGCTTTTGGATGAAACATTGAGTATAGAAGGTTGGCTTTCCAGTTCATTACATGCGAAAGTTTCTGCCAGCTTCTGATGTATCCGACTTTCGGTTTGCTATATATTGGAAGGAAAGAGTTCAGGGTACAAAGCGCGAGAGTCGTTTTCAAATTGTAATAGGAAAATACAATTCATTTATGACATTTTGGGAAACTGAAATTTCAAACCCAAACTCGTAACCCTTCGAGGGTTAATGTAAACCAAATGATAGATGCAACGTAAACCGAGCTATGTGTTTGCTCTTGAAACAGTGGTTTTGTGTAAAGATAAAACCAGCTTGCACATTGTTATAGTGGTAATGGCATAACTGTCTGAAATTGATATTCCAGCACTAGAATACTTATAGCCTAGATGCACTGACGTGTGATTTTTGGGTGTTTTCGACACTGAAAATGTAATCGCTCAGGGAGTTGGTTCTCTTCTTATGAAGTAACGAAAAGACACAACGCTCATAGTGATGTATACGATGACATACAATATCGCTTTTTATGTCCTGGAACTGTTTCTAAAGTGCACTTTAACGTAATGTAAAAAATACGAACCTGATAAAGCAACCAATTCTGAATGAGAAAACTATAGCAATTCAAAATGAACCCATTTATGTTGACCGTAATTGAAACTATATATTCATAGTTCCTTCTACTTCAATGTATATTGCTAAGAATACTTAGAACTCGTAAATGTTCAAACTCAATTTTAAATACACTTACAATATTTATTTATAAAATCTTGACAACCCTTAAACTTCCATTCTGTTATCTCGTGGCAAAAAAACTGAAATAAATACTTGTATTTTATATTTACATATTGGTAACTTACCTATGCATTTTCCATTGCTTTCAACAAAACCATCTTCACAGGAGCACACCTTATTTCCTTTTTCAAAGTAGCACTGGCCGTGTTCTCCACAATCACAAACTGAAATATTCAAATGTGCGATATATTAGTGTGTGAATTCGTCGACTGCTTTTCAAGTCTTGAATAAATACTTATCGCTGAGCGAGGATTCTCATGTATCACCTGGTTCCTCGATTTTCACTATTACTAAATATTTAATGAGATAGTATATTGCAAAATCAGTATCTTGCAAGAAAAAAAAAATAAAGACTTAATGGAGTATCATATAAACAAGACCCCCGATTCAATACCAGGCGTTTTACAGCACATTTAGTAATTTCTTATAATACTGTTATTTCTCTGACAAAAGCAATGAAATTGAGTATTGGGGTATTTTGGAAGAACTTTACAACTAAGCTCCCCGATCAACCTTACTTTACATCTTGTATAGACTATCGATTCTTTCAATAAAGATGTTTCATTTACCAAAGAAAAATTAAAAGCGGTTATTGTTCATTCTTTCGGCTGTGAAATATGTTATCAATTTTCTATTAACCAAACTAAGAGACAAATCCAGTTGCTTCAAAATAGTTTACTTCATAATAGAATACTCAAATTACACTGAAGAGCCAAAGCATTATGACCACCTATTCAATAATACCTTGCGCGACCTTTGGCCTGCGAAAAGCTGCACCTCGCCTTGGCATGGATGCCACAAGTTCTTGGTAGATGACTGGAAACAGGTTGTACCAAATGCCTATGTAGGGGATCACGCAAAGTAGAGATATTCCGAGTTAGGAGGCCAAAACATTAACTGGAATTTATCTTTATGGCTTCCCGAACCACTCCAACACTATTTGAGCCTTAAGACACTGGGCATTGTCCTGCTGGAAGATTCAATTTCGAGTTAGGAAGAGAGATGCAGCGTAAAGGTGCAACTTAACCGAAGTTATGTTCAGATAGTCGGTAGCTTTCGCGGTGTGTTCTACAACATGTTTTACTGTTGTGAACGGTCGGCCCCCAAAGCATAATACCGCCGCCACCAGCCTGTGTGTGAACTGCTGTGCAGAAGGGGGCAACTGTTTGCCTGGAAAACGGCGTCCTCTTATACGACCATCGACATGATGAATCAGAAATCTTGATTTTGAAATCAAATGTCTTAATCCGTGGTCCAGTCTCGATGTTCCCGGTTCCACTGTAGACGTAGTTGACAATGATGTTTGGTCAGCAGAGGCACACGAGTGGGACGTCTGCTAATCAGTCCCATATCCAACAGTGTTCGCTGAACTGTGTGTTCCGCAACACTAGCACTTGGACCTGTATTGTATCGGGTTATCAGCTGAGCTATTGTCTGGCGCCGATTTTGCTGTACCAAGCGGAACACTCTCCGAAGTCCTTTTTCTTTGATGACTCGCAGACGTCAAACACCTTGGCGTTTGCTGCTGGTTTCACCTTCATTTGTCCAATTTGCATAAGTACTAAACAATGGCGAGTCGTGCAGTTTCGGAGATACTCGTTCCAAGACTTCGAGCCATTATAATCTAGCTTGTGCGAAATTCGCTTAGATGAGCAGCTTTGCCCATCACTCACAAAATTAAGTGCAAAAATTATTTCCTACCTGCTCCAATCCAATCAAAGCCGATGTTACCGGCTCAATAAAGTCTGCTCAGTGGGCACCTGATTTTGAAATTGTCTTTACCGGTGCCGTTGGGAGATCTGAGGTGACCCTACCTACTTCAAAAGCAGTTAAGTACTATTCTCGCTTTTAATCATGTGCCCTCAATGTCATCCAGACGAGTTCATTTAAAAATATGGAGATGGTCATAATATTTGGGCTCGTCAGTATATATTAATGACTAAAAAGTATTAGGAGATTTAACATTAAACGTTGCACGCACCCAAAACGCAGCTCCGGATATACGGCAACCGGTAACTGTATGCATGCAGTAAGTATAAGCGATAAGATATTTGAATAAATAACGTAATTTTATTGCAGTTTAATGGTTTCAGCAGCGTTTTGGGAAATGTCATTTGTTTTCACTTTTGGCGGTATTTTACGCTATGGATTTATGTGCTTAGCGTTGTTTCTTTCTCAGTTTGCATCATTAATTTTATATTTTTATCATCTTTAAACTATTTTTATCATCTTTAAACAAAGTCTGCTTGGCGAGATTTGCGCCGCCGAAACGGAAAAGTACTTAAAAATCTAATGTCATAAACAATGATTTTGCTTGCACAATGAAATTGTTTTCATACATTAGTATTGCAGAAAATTCAGACTTCATATGGCTACACTTGTAAACCAAAATCAAAAGCACTTTAATTGTTTTAAACATCTGTCAACTCTTAACGTGCGCAACAGATAGCGGTAAAGGCCAGAGTAGTAAACTCGCTGAACACTGGTAGTTCCGCCCGGGTTTAGAATCGTAGCGAACAGGCTGGCTGCATGGGCGTTTCGCGGCTTTTCCCACATGTAATTTCGATACGAGGCTGTTTCCCTTCGAAAGTCCTCCTAGAAGGCATCCCTTCGCTTAGGCAGCTGGCTCTCAATTCCTTTGCCATAATCAGAGAAACGCAATAAAATCTGTCAAGCTTTAATTTGCTGATTAGCGTTGGTTCTTTTACGCTTACCGAGGAAAATAATAAGTGATGCTCATAGTAATAAAGTTACTACTGAGCATATTCTATTAGTTAAGTCTGATGTCCTTTTGGCATCGTTTATGCGACTTCAAAATTTTAAGTAAGATTTTCTATTTTAACTTTCCAAATATAATACACTGGGTCGCCAATAGGCGTAGTTCTCGCATATGTATCCTGACTGCGACATTTGATATAATGTTTCTTCTGAGAGAATGTGAAGCATATCGTTATGCTATAGGCCGAGAAGGAAGAAATTAAGTTATGGTTGCTCAATTTAACTGAAATCATCAACGGCCAAGCAGTAAAATCGCTGAACACTGGCTAGAATACTAACACACTTCAACCCTGGCTCAAATTTCGCGAATGGACTGACTACATGGGAGTTTTCGTAGATTTTACCATTTCTAACGTGGTTACGAGCCAGGTTTCTTAAAAAATTGTTCTTGAAAGCATTTCTCTTCTGTGCCGCTAGTCAGCTCTAGTGTGGTTAACCGTAATCAAATCATCCAGCCCGATCCTCAGTTTAGCTAGGCTTCAAGTAAAGATTCTAGTACAAATTTGCACAAAAAACTTCTGCTGCATTTCAATACTCATAGTAGAGTTTTCCTGAAGAATATTTCTCTTATTCTGAATTTAAAAAGGTGAAATTCAATAAAGTAGCCTAATCCTGTACAACATAATTTATCGAATAACCGTTAACTATAATTGAAATTTAATATAACATAACATATAATTACGTTCATTAAGATTTGACTATACTAGAATTTGATTGATTATAATATGCAAAATATCATTCTTATTTATTTCCGCTATTGTTATGTAATTATAAAACAATTTGTCTTTGTAAATGTATACAGAAAACACTTGAAGGATTAATGCCTAAGAGAAAGGATGACTTTGTGTAGTATTTTCTGATTGAATAACCGCAGTGTACTCTCTCTGTGACGAGGTTATATATAGGATGATACGATGGCTTTTACACTATGCTTTGCTTCGCAAAACTGCACACATGTATTTGATATTCGACTGTTTGGATAGAAAAACGGAAAAATGTCCTAACGCATAAAACACATATGTTAGCAAAAATTTGCCATCTTGAATTAGTTGGCGAACGTTTGATTGCTTGAAAAATCAATACTTGCATCTGTTTTCAAACAAGTATTGAATGCCTGCGTTTTCTGAATCCAAGTAATGCTGCACGAATTTCTGTGCTACTATACTTAAAAATAATACTGAACAAAATTGTCTATGGATGCGTTTTGAGTGCATTATTATAATAATTACAGGATTTGTCTGGAAAGTAGTAAGACTGAATTAAAAAAAAACAATTATTCACAATTTTGACGCATTCACTTAATACCTTTCAAAATGTGCCCCTTTTGCATCAGCACAGTATTTCCAGTGATTCTACCAATCACTGAAGGCTCCTTGGAATACAAACACTGGAATGCTCTTCAGCTTCTGGGAAGAGAAAGAAGTCTGAAGGAGAGATATCTGTATTGTAGGTTCGATGGCGAAGTTTGTGTGATGCCTTGTTTGGTCAGGAAATCCATGATAGCAAAGGCCCTGTGGCTCGACACATTGTCGTGATGGAGCCTCCATAATCAAGCGATTGCTGGGCAGGAGGAGCTGAGTCGTTCAAGTATTTTTTTTTTACAGGCATAGCCCAGATGCCGTTCCTCCTGACTTCTACCACTTTTCCCGACCGAAAACGTACAAGAAAGGACGACACCATGGCCCCGTCCAGGCTATTCAAAAGGCCGTAACGAGGGAGCTGAAGAGCATTCCAGTTCCTGCTTTCCAGAAAGCTTCCAGTGATTCGCAGAGTCGCGCGAAACACTGTGTTGATGCAGTATGGGCGTATTTTGGAAACTGTTAAGTCGATGCGTCAGAACTGTGAACAAATTATTATGAAATAATTCAATCCTATTATTTTCCTGTCAAATCTTGAATAGTTCTTTACTTTATTCTTTTTACCTATTTGAAATAAATACTTATATTGAAATGGATTAAAATCAGAAATATTTATTTCCGACTTTTCATAGAAAACTTGCTAGTCTTTAAAGACTCACAATAATTTAATGCGTTGTAAAGAGAAACTAGATTCTTGGATAAAATCAGCCGTAAAAACTGAATTAATTACTTTGAGAAAATATAAATCAGCAAAACCGATAAATCATTGAGTGAAAATATAACCAACCGCACTAACTACAAAAATAAATTGTTCAGACTAATTTTCATAGAAACCGACTCGTAGCAAGGCCACTATATACTGAGTGATCCTTATTAGAAAAAAAAATTCGCTTGCTATGCACCAAATTTGTAAACATTTATTCAAAATATTTTTATCGTTAATAAATATCAGAGAAGTAAAGAGGAAAATGTCGTCAGATATTTATGATGTCATGATTGATATTTATGATATTTATGACGACTTGCGTCATCCCAGAAGTCTTACATGTTTCTGAAAGGCAGAAGTATTTGCCTGCAGTGGAAAGGTGTTTGGACACCAGGGTACCTGAGCAACATTGCTCTACTCCTTGTGGGACATTTTAAAAGTTGCGAAAGTTGTTATGAAATTAACCTTAATTCTGCAGCTATGGAAATTTGTATCGTGACTGGCCCAGTGCCAAGAAAATTAGATCTGAATTCATGGCTTTTGTACCATTCTTGTAATATTAAGTTCGTATATTACATAAATGTCTAACATACTAACTTAATGCCAACATACAAGGAAGCCTGATCCCTCTCGGATGTTCAATGCTTTTGAATATATCAGGACAAAAGCATGAACATAAGTACTTGCCTGGTGAATAAGGTACACCCATTCATCAAATTTAATAAATAAATAAACTCGTATCAAATTCTCATTTCCGAACTCGTAATCCACATAATTTTGGTTAGTTCCAGGCTTAGAATCTACTATTTGGAAGAACTTTGTAATTAATTGGAAAGTAAACAATTACACTGGAATTCGCAATTTTTAATTTTGATTTTTATAATGTCTGTTGTTGCATAGTCAATGACTATAGCGTAGATAAGAATTTTTTTTGCATTGAAATTAATAATACCCTGAGGGATTTTCAAAATTCTACTCAAATCAATATCTCAAAATTTAAAAAAATGTACTCCAAATAAGTTTTATATCCGCAGTTTATAGAAAATTATAAAAAGTAAAATATTTTTTTTTAAAATTTTGTATGATCAATAATTATAAGAAACTAGGCTTAACAGATATATATCTAGTACTTTCAAGGATAAAATATATTCATTTAATCAAAAAAAAATTAACTTCCTTTTCATTTAAAATTCTCTTCTTTATTATTATTTTTCAGTTTCCATTCGTATTTTAGGTAAGTAAATTTAAAACAAGCATTTTTTAAAATTCCTTGTATAATTATAAATGAATTAACTTACACTAAACAGCTATTCTAAATTATGACAACTTTAGTCAGGATCACTTTGCTCAAATTAGGTAAAGTATGTATTGCATCCACAACAATTTTTTATTAAGAAATAGATTTACCTTCACACTTTTGCTATTTCTGTTCGTATCCAGGAGGACAATAGCATTTTTTGAGTCAATATGATAAATGACAATCAACACCATCGCCACACGCTTGCTGAACATTTTGAAAAGAAGTTTACCCAGAACACATCACCACCTAATGAGGATTTTTCTACCTTAGTAAACTCCACAGTTTCTAACTGGATGGATAACTTTAATACGCAGAGTCATCTTGAGCTCACTTCACCCCAAGAAATGCTTTGCATCATCAAAAACCTCAGGAACAGGAAGGCCCCTGGGCAGGACAATATAAATAATGTGGCGCTTAAGTGGCTGCCAATTAACATGGTCAACAGGTTCACAGGCATTCTAAACGCTTGCCTTTATAACAGTTATTTTCCGCAAATCTGGAAATCTGCTAAGATGATAGTACTCCCTAAACCGGGAAAAAATCTTACGAAAACAGAAGGATACAGGCCCATTAGCCTGTTACCCAGTATGGGTAAAATACTAGAAAGAATCAACCTTAGCCGTATTCAGCCTCACATGGATAAGCTACCTCTAGAACACTTTGGTTTTAGAAAAGCACTTTCCACGACTAAACAGCTAGTTCGACTCAACGAATTCATAGGCAGTGCTCTGCACAACAAGAGATATGTTGCCTTACTCATGCTGGACGTGGCGAAGGCGTTCGACCGCGTCTGGCATGAGGGGCTTATTTATAAGTTAATCAGCTTAAAGTTCAGTGATGCGCTGATTAAAATTATTTATTCTTTCCTGACAAACAGAACTTTCCACATTCAAATTGGAGAAAGTAAATCGATTATGAAAGAAGTAAAGGCCGGGGTCCCACAGGGATCTATTTTAGGACCAGTACTCTATCTTTTTTACGTAGCGGACTTACCTGCTGAACACCTTGATCAAAACTTCTTCATGGGGTGCTATGCAGATGATACAGCTTTCGCTGTCAAGTCTGGGACACCGAATTTTGCCCTAAAGAAACTGCAGAGATTTATGCCTAAGCTGGAACATTGGTGCGCCAAATGGAAAATAGCAATCAATGCTGATAAGTCCAAACTGCTAATCTTTAAGAAAAATAAGATGAATCATCCCTTGACAACACAACTGATACTCTTTGACACTGTAGTGCCTGTTGTCAAAAGTGCTACCTACTACTTGGACTAAAATATTGTTCAAATTTCCTCTGGAAAGAACATATTAACTGCATTAGAGGAAAAACTATCGGAGTCTTACGAAGTCTCACGCCGCTTCTGTCTGCGACTTCCAGATTAGACTTAAAAAGGAAAAGAGACACATATATATATCTATCATACGTCCTATCTTCTCATATGCCTCTCCCGCCTGGGCAACTGTTCAGAAGAAGGAGATAGACAAGTTACAAATTTTACAAAATAAAGCTCTTCGAATGATAGCTAATGCACATTATTACGTTTTGAAAAAATCACACTCTACACCGTGACTTGAAAATGGAATCCGTCGAGACGTATTTGCATAATGCTACCAACAATTTCTTTAATAAGGCTCAGGAATGTGTACACATGACTGATCTTAATGTCTTGGATTATGTGATTCTTAATGAAGATGCCTCGTTAAGACCACTCGCGGCCCACCTCGCCAGGGACTTAAATTTCCCAACGTAAAATTTTCATGATGGGTACGCACTGCTCTTGTACATATTGTATATATTGTAATTATTTTTATTTTATTTTTTATTTTTCAATTGTATTTTATGTATTTCCTTTTACGTTTCAGTAGTATGTATGTAATAAAGTATGATATGTTTAATTGTTATGATGTGTCTTAAATTCAAATGTCAAGATTGAAATTGTTGGATTTTGTCTGTGTTTCTTGATGATCAACACAAACATTTCACACAGATCCTCACGGCTCCTGCTTTGCGATTTTCTTATTGTGCGCGCCTTTAAAGGCCTTGCGACGCATGGTCGCCCCCTGTAATCACCTTTGACCTCTCTAAACTTGTCAAGAAACTGCAACGTCATGTGCCCTTTGGGCTTATTTTCAAGAGCCGGACAAGTTGCGCAGCCGCGCGACATTTCGGCTATAGTCGCACAGACTAGACTAGACTAGACCATCGCCACAGTCACAAGCTGGATTAAGTAAAACATTTGTTTAGCATGTTTTATTCATGGTTATAGTTGCAAAATTTTGGGTGAATACACATACACGTGCAAAAAAATATGTAAACATGGTTACAGATATGATATATACGGTGGTATGATCTTAACTCCTTAAATTATGTCTATTACATTGAGTTATATTTTACATCACATTCTGTGACATTAATCTGCTGCACTTCCTAAGGTCATAGTGGTGTTTCTAGACATGGCTTCCTTACTCTTAATACTGTACATTATATTTTGATTCGCAGCTTTTCGGAAAACTTGCGTGAGAGTTTACATTTTGCTAGAGATAGAAATTTCTATTTCTCCCGTTCGCGATTGCGTTGAGCAGAAAAAACGAACTATATAGTTCTGCGGATGGTTCCTGCTGAGAAGGAGACGAGGAGAGACGAACAGGTAGTCTGTCTTTTCGATTCTGAAGGTCCTGATGTCTGACCTTCCTGTAACGCCTATCTGATGACGTTTGGCGATGTAGCCAGGTGCTGTTATTCTCTCAAGCGTGCTGCAGAAACGTGATGCAAGGAGTCCTACTAAGGAACAGTTCATCGGAAGCAAGAATCTATTCAAGCATTCTGGATTATCTATCTACATAGCTAAATACCTGCCTATATGAAAAGGATTTTTAAGCAGGATCAAGTCACATTGTACCATTCTAGTATAGTTCATACGTTATCCATCGTATAAGTTCATTAATGTGTCAAAGTCTGACACGATACGTTTATCTATGTTGTTAAATCTTAAAAATAGAAAACATCGATTAAATTTTACGTTTTTAATATTTCAACTTGGTGCAGTTTATACTTCTGTAGCAGAGAATACCCATCACTGCGCGTGACTCTCAGGATTCTTCAAAGAACACAAAATCTTCAAATACAATGCATTTATTATACCGTTGAGGGATTATTTTTCATCAGTCTGTTATTTTCAATTATATCACAGAAATTATTTACTCCATATTGTTTAAACAATTATAAGGAAATACGTCAGGCAATCTGCCTATGCAAAAGGACGTTTCCATAGAGGACTTTACAAAGGAAAATTGATTTCATGTTTGTGTTTCATATGAGAAAAGAACGGAAGCTTTTAGGCAACCAAAGCGTTAGCCAGAGGTCCCACCCAGGTCAAATTGCCTAAGTATAACGGTTTTATCTGTTTGGTCACAGGCTGCCCGTTATTGTATATAACTGTTAGAATTTAAAATGGAGTAAACTGACGTAAATATTCGTTGTAAATCAGCTGATGGCTGACGTTATGAACAACAAATTTACAATGTATCAAAATGATATGTAGTTACTTTAAATGACGAAATTTATACACCACAATAGCATTCTAAAAGGAAAGGATATACACGACTTAAAATAAGCAGTAGGCTAATTTGCCCAGTTCGTGTTAAGGCTAAAAATATACTTTTCCCTTAAATTGTAGAGAACATATACTCACCTTCACATTTCCCATTATTTTCAATGTAATGGTCATGGCATTTACACATTTTTTCTCCGTGATAAAACGTACATTCCCCGTTCTCACCACAACTGCATTCTAAGAAAAAAAGTGTATACAAGACTTTTGTAATATGCAAGACTTTGTAATATTGGTCCAGTTGGCGATTAGTTAAAAATACGCATTAATTTCGAAAACATATACTCACTTTCACATTTTCCATCATTTTCAGCATAACCATGGTAGCATGTGCACAATTTTTTTCCTTCATGAAACGTGCATTTTCCTTTTTCGCCGCAGTCACACTCTAGAAAAGAAATATATGCAAAACTTTTAATACGTACTAGAGGGTATTTTTGTGAAGTTAACGTTTTGGTTAAAAATATTTTTTATTCTTAAGCTTGGGAAATTTCGTGCGGGTTGGATTAGCCACTAAGCAATATAAGCAGTTGCCTAGGGTATCAAGGAAAAGAGGCACTACAAATTTCCCCTTGCCGGTTTACCATGGAATGTATGGTGCAGCTAAACTAAAAACGAGGCAGATGGAATGAAGAAATAACTTCCATAAATACATGTAGGGACACCAGAAGTGTGTTTTCTAAGTGGTTAGGGCCTCTGAATGTCTTAATCCAGACCTGATTGCATGCTAGGGGTTCATACATATAGTTTTAGCAACTATGTTAAACAGATAACAATTCATTCAGCAAGATAAAAATTTATATATAGCAGAAAGAGAAAACTAGATACAAGGTAAATTCTCCTTAACATGCGACTAATGTCGCAGATCATTAAATTATTCACAAAGTTTATAACAATAATCAACGAACAGAAGCTCAGCACAGTCATACGACTCGTAACTCTGACTTAAAGGTGATATGTTTCTGAATTGATTAAAGGTCATATGTTTCTGAATTGATTGTACTGACTTTTGGCTCCGCGCATGTGGTATTTAGGGCCATCCAAGCACTTCAGGAATCTTCGAGAAAAATCGTTTATTTAAGACTTCAAAAATGCACTTTATGGAAACTTCCGTAATGTTACCAGCATTTAAAAAAAAAATCTAAAGCTTTCAAATTTTACATTAAGCCCAAAACGGCGTTTTTTTTAAACATTTTGTGGGCTACTCTTATTTATTTAATATCATGTTCTTCGCACTTAACCCATATCATACCAAGCATTGGAAAAAAATAATACATTTTTATAAATTCTTAAATATGTGTTTCTCTAAGTCTGTGTATGCATATAAAACTTAAAAACTTCCCAAATTTCAATTAGTTTGATTAATACAGCCTGTCCTTTATGGGTCTTTCGCAATAACATCTTCAATTTGAAGCTTCAGAAAATCTTCATTAGCCTGTTGAACCCCCAGCTTTCTGCAAGATCGTTTTCTTGGAATAGAAAGTCCCAAATAGACAAATGCTATGTGTCTTCGAAAATCAAGCAAGCTCAGAATATGAATTCCGCCTTCAACCTCCGTGCATTAAGCTCATGTCAGCCCATGATCCCTCGCCGCCCGGCGACGCTACTCCGCCGGATAAGCACATGTTGGATTGGAGTGCACCTGTTGAACCTGAAAACACCGATTTTTGGATAACTCGAATATGGATACATCGAATAATCATGAGAATGGAAACATGGTATCTAAACCGGAAATAATTGTCTTAGAAATCCGCAAGCAGATCCGACAACTGGAAGATAGGATTAAAACGACTATAGATTTGAAAAAACACCTGGATTCTATCCGTGATGTATCTGTCCCCGACCAGTATACTCCGCAGATGACAAAGCAGATTGGTGACTGGAAATCAGAAGTGGAGCACCTTCGGGGTAAGTGCGATTTTTATACTACATTGTGTGCTAGGAAACCCCCTCAAATTCTGCTGAATGTTTTACTAATGTTCTTCGCACTAATGTGAGGATAATGCAAATGTCTCTGCAATAGGTAATGTAAATAATTCTAACGTTAAACGTAAATTACCGAAAAGTTCAGACTGTTCAGATGATTGTAATACTAGGGATAACGATGGTTTTATTAAACCCGGTATAATTTCAAAGCAAACTAAGTAGAAAACCCCTTTAAAAGATTCCACTAATCACATTGCAACCAAAAATAAATTTAGTCCACTTGACCAAAATGATAATAAATCACCTCCTGAGGTAGAGCAAAATGCAAACAGTCAACCCGACAACACCGCGAATCAAACGCAAATCCCGCCGCAGCAAAAATCTGTTCCTCCTGTAATGGTTAAACCACCGGATAACATGAAATTTAATCCCTACATGGAACAACTAGCAGATAGTTCAAAAGCAAAATTCTTTGGCTGTATTAACGGCGAATTCCTGAAAATTCTCCCATATACCCCTGATGATCACAGGATACTCACGAAATATCTACAGGATCATAAAGTTGAACACTATGTCATTAATGAGCGTCACCTAAGACCAGTTAAGGTCGTTATCCGAGGACTTCCAATAGATATGAAAACACATAATATAACTGACATTCTCTCGGAATCAGGATTTAAAATTCACAAAGTCACCCGAATGACCAGGAACCGCACCAGACAACCAATACCACTTTTTCAAGTGCAGCTCATACCCACGCCTAAAGTTGTTTATCAGATAACTCATATATCTCTCTTTATTATGAAAATTCAAAAATACGTAAACAAGAATTTGATACCTCAGTGTCATAACTGCCAGAAATGGCATCACTCTTCGGATAACTGTTTCTTAACTCCCCGTTGCGTGAAATGCGCCGGGGAACACAAATCTGCTCTATCCCCAAAAAAGACTTGATAGAAAATCCTGTTCGTGCAAATCGCAATAAATCTCACCCGGCATCCTATAGGGATTGTGAAAAGTTACCTAAACCTAAAAATAATAACTCACAGGGACCCAAAAAACTTAATGTTAACCAGCAAATGTTAACCAGCAAAGTCCTGAACCTGCAGGAGTTACATATAGCAGAATCTTTTGCTTCTGATACGAGTAGCCGTCGGGACTTCAATTCACCCCTGACTTTCGAGTTAGACGGACGCTTTTCTCCTCACTGCTGAAAAAACGACCTTGGACGTGATTCTGAGTTCAACGCGGAGTGTGAAGGAACTTCAGCCTCTCGCTTTGATTCTCCCTGCACTTGATTTTGCGTACTTCCTTTTTCTGTTAGCGGCTAATAGTAGGTTGGTGCTTTGGCCCCGGCTACGAGCACCGTAAAAAGGCCTAGCGAACCTAACAGCACGGCCTCGTGTCTATTGTTTCTACGACCTCTGCTCTTTACCTATTGAACAATGATTGAAAAGCTCTTTGACTTTCTCGGAGTGCTAATCACGGAGTACGAAGTGAGACCTGATGACAAGCCACTCACTGATAAGGAGAGTATGGAACTACGAGTACTTCGCGGTTTCAGAGCCACACTCCACAAAATGACTCTCCAAGGATCTGAAAACACTGACGTTAAGGAAAATATACCTGCTAGGAACCAACCGGAACCTGGACAATCTATGACAAACTTGGCTGCGGAATCTATGATAGTGGATGAGACGCGGACTAGCAGTAAACGCCCGCTCAGTCCCACCATTGAATTCAATATTCCAGTCGCTAACAGATTTTCCTTTGCTGAAGAAGGAACTCCACTGGACATGGACAGTTCGGATGATGATGGAAATTACACAGAAATTAAGAAATCTGTCCGGAAAACTAGGCGAACGCACGGGAAACGCCGTACCCCGGCTATAAACCCAAAAGGTAAAGAACAATCTGTGAATCCTGTTCCTCAGGAAGAGAAACTTCTGAATCCTGCCGCTCAGGAAGAAGAACCACGCGATTCGTCTGCCGTGATCGACACTGCCTTTCATCAACCAATCAGTGTGGATGGCCCTAACACTCGAACACACGAGGTTGCTACCAGTAGTCATGATAATGTGGCGCCATATATTGGGGCTACTGAAAAGTCAGCTCACGCGAGTATGTCTTTGGCAGAAAGCGTAGCTCGGCCAATCAACATCTTGGATGAGGTCAAGTGCCCGGTTGGGCCAATGGATAGTGATGCTCGTGAAACTCAGACTGGAGCAACCCGAACTGAGGGTCAGTTTACTTTCCCGCACAGGACGGCGAAAATGCCGCCGATTTGCATTCGAGAAATCTTTCACTGAACTGCTTGAAAAGGAACAACTGACCGATTTCACCGCGAAAAAGAAAGGTGAAGGCAACTATGAAATACACACAAAAAATTCGGATAACTTCCGAAGCATGACTGCCCTTTTCGACAAAAAAGAATTTTCTTATCACTCGTTCCTTCTCCCTGAGGAGAAGAACCTCAAAGTTGCGATAAGAAATCTTCCCATTGATGCGAAACCCACGGACATTCAGGAGAAAGAAACTCCGTGAAAAAGATTTCACTGCGCTCAAAGTGGAACAACTGATGAAGGGCAGAGGAAAAGATAGGGCTAAAATGCCCCTATTTCTGGTCACTCTTTCTAAGACCCCTAAAAACAATGAGATATATCATCTGAAATATCTAATGTACTTGCACATTAAAGTAGAAAGATATCGTGGTCGGCGTGGGCCGACACAATGCTTTCGATGTCAAAGGTACCATCACGCGCAGGCGGCGTGTCACCACCCGCCTCGCTGCTGCTGTAAGTGTGCAGGCCCTCATGAAAGCCGGGATTGCCCGGAACCTAAAGATTCTGAGCCGAAATGTTGTAACTGTCTCGGGAAGCATACCAGCAACTGGAGGGGTTGTGAGGCCTTCCCAAAGCAGAAACCCAATGCCCCCAAGTTTGATGAAAGGGTCATTGTCAATAAATCCTACGCCCAGGCTGTTCAATCTGATATTTTCGCGGGGAAAATTCAGAAAGCTGTAGCGGACGCTCAGCAGGTCATGAAGAACCTTGCTGATCTTATAGCGCTTCTACACAATACAACTGCCATGGCAGAAAAGCAAACTACAGTGAGGCCCGATACTAAGATAAATTATGGATCGTAGGTCCTTAGTAAAAATGACCCCAGTGACGATCATGACATGGAATGCGCAGAACATTATCACCAAAATTAGCGAACTGCAGGACTTTCTCACACACTACAACATCGACATTGCACTAATCACTGAGACACACGCTACGCCAGCGCACTCCCTCAGTATTGCTAACTATGGCAGATATCGCTGTGATAGGATCAGACATAGAGGCGGAGGTGCCGTAATCTATGTTAAGCGGAGTTTGGACTTTTGCTTCTACGCTTCTGACAATTCTGCTGTCAGAAAGCTGCAAGATCAGCACTTACAGAATTTGCTAAATAACCCCT